TGGGCACATATATACACACGCGCACATAATATTAGAATGTAAAATAGTATGTAACAATATACATGACTTATTTCGATAAATGCAATTTTGTCACTTGTTAATGGTTCGTATACGTTTTAGTCAAAAACGATTAATCAGTATACTTGTGATAGGATCTACAATCTACCAATGTAAGTGTTGTCAATACTCAATAATAATTATGAGGTGGTTTAATAAATGGATCCTATGACTTGTCGTATTTCCGCCTTAGGAACAAAATTCAATTTTTACTGACAGTTTTTCTGTTATATTGAAACACAAAGGAGTAAATATTCACTATATTATACTTTTATAATGATGAGTCGAAGAAATAAAGAATCAACATTTAAACGAAAATATAATTTATTGATATATAACCCGCAGACTGTAATGGCCATTAATTACATAAATTATCATAATTATTTTAATATCCTCCCAATGTATCATAATTTTTATGAAGTTTTGTTTTCTCTAAAAATAATAATATTTAGTATTGTATATTTGTATGCTAATGTAAATAGGAATTTTTGAATTAGATATTCATAGCCTCTTTTTTAAAATAAATAATATAACTGTAATTAGGTATTTGCTATTTTTTAAGGAAGAAATTGTATAGACATTGAAATAATAAGTAAATCGACATTAACGTAATTAATACAATTAGTACTATGCATAGAAAATATAGATCTCATGCTCATTTAAAAATACTCTGTCTTTAATTATAATATATTTATATGTAACGAACTTTTTTCTAAATATTTAGACTAAAATTTTCAAAATAATTTGTCAATTTTTGAACTATTTTAAGGTATTTGATAATTTTTAATTTTTTTTTTTCTATAAATATTGATAACAAAATAATTTTTACTCGGTCAAAAAGCATGAACATGTAATGTAAAAGCATAAAGCAGTAAGTAAATTAAATGTGAATTTATAATTCTTTCTATTTATGAATTTACATTTAAAATGTTTACATAATTCGTTAAGATTCATCGTGGTTACAAAAAATTGAAAATTACTTTGTAGTTAAAATGTACAAAATTGACAAAAATGACAACAACAACAAAAAAGTATCGATTTTAACCATTTTGTTTTCTAAATTACATAAGCATTATTGTGCAATAACTCTGATAAATAATAGCCTCTCTTTGCCCACCACTAATTATTGCGCTTACCATGCAGAGGAATGCAATTAAACCTATGTATAAGTTATAATAATATAATGTAACGTACCTACAACAATAATCCTAAATCATTTCTAATATTTTTTCATCAAAATATACCAATAATAATCCTCTCGTCAATCGCTATGAATAATTATTTGTATTAGGTATAATATATCTGTGTCGGTATGAATGTTCATTGCGTACAGTTGTCATCAGCGATAAGGTACTTGGTGGATGAGGAGTAGGTGGCCAGTAGGACTTACGTTCCGTCGAATCAATGCCGGCTGAGACAACAGGTTCGCGTGAACGATGTCCGCAAAAATGACAACATTTTATTGTTTTCATTTCTGCTTACACACATCGTACATAATATAATAACTAATCATTAATATACTATTATATACCCAATAGAAATAATTATTATTCCATTGTAGTTCTGGATCGGATCGATTGCTCCATCGAAACGTTTAAGTACAGGATAGCACGAACCGCCTGTGTTTGTACAGGTAACCCATCATCTATCGCTGCTGGTCGTTGCTGGTTTTCGTTGAAAACGTCGATTGCAATGATATTACGTTTATACCTACGTATCTACTTAATATAATTATTATCGAGGTATAATTCATTACGAACTGCAGTTTGCCAATTTGTTCCGTAATGATAAACACGATGATAATAATGCCGGGTGATTTGCGGACACAGCGAGACGGAACATTCGAAATGTTTCTATTCGTTTTCCCGCGCAGACTTGCTGCGACCAGTACATGACCCATTACAATCACTACATCAATATAATAATATGTGTGTGTGTGTGTGTTTAATTTATATTATACTATTACTATATCAGCTGTAGCCTGTAGGTACCTATAAACCGTAGAACGAGACGTCGAAAAATAATGATAAAATCATTCGATGTCGTGTTTCGAAACTTTTTCGTTTTGTTTTGTGAACCAGAAAACTTACGTTTCTCATAGGAACATAGAATAATATGATTTGAATTCTTGGAATTAAGTCTTAAATCTTCTGATCCGTTCAATATTACCTACTCAGCATTATTAATTGTGTCACTTACTCGATGACCTACCAAATCTACTGGGGCGTATTTGTATTTTAGGATTTTGTTTTCTGAACTTTGTTTATCGAGGTGACTCGAGAGCACTGAGCAGAGCACCTCCTCTCACTGTGCAACTAAGTAATTTTAAAACTGTGATAACTGAAAAACATTATAAACACATCACACGTTGTATGTAGGTACTGCATCTTAGTAAAAAAAAACTTGAAGAGGAACTTTATATTAATTTATGTAAATTTGGATGTTAAAATAAAAAATTTTCTAAATATTTATCCACAAAATAAATTTAAAATGTTCAGGATTTTATTAAATTTCGTAAAAATTTGATATTAAAATACAAGTACCTAGTTATGAAACAAATTACTACAATATATTTGTATTTTAGACATTTTGTATCGGAAATAATAAATAAACAATAATTATTGTTAACGGTAATTAAAGAAAAATAATAAAAAACCAACTTCATATTAAACTTTCAAAAATTTTTACTTGAAAACAAAAAAAAAATTTAAAAAATCAAAAAATTTAAATATTTAAAACAAATTTTTTATTCTAAGTTTTGAACGGAGTAATTGGTCTTAAGACTTACAATGATTATGTCTATGTGTGTACGTGGTGTTTTTTTTTTGTCTGTTTTTACCTTTTGGGAAAATAGGTAAACATTTTTTGATCTTAAACTTTAGGGATGGTTTCTAATAGGAAATTTAATTTAGTTGTTTTTTTAAATTTACAATAATTTTTTTGATCATCAAGAAAAACAAAAATAAATAAGAAAAATCGTGAATCTGATTTCAAATTTAAATCAGTTGACAAAATTGATTTCTATATTTTGTTAAAATTTAATAACGAATAATCGTAGAAAATTTTACCAAATTTTTATGTTTGTATTTTGTTCGGGTAGGAAATATTTTGACTGTTTTGAACTTTTTATACTCGTATATGAAATTTCCAATATTTTTTAGTTTATTTTTTAATAATGACAATTAAAAATTATTCACCGTGTACAAATTCTTGAAAATTCAATATTTGAAAATATGTCTGTATATCCTTATAATTTATAAATAGTATTTACAGATTCTAAAAAAGTTAATATAGATAAATAAGCACTTAGTTTTTTATAGAAATTTAAAGATTTTTAAACAATAATTAATTATGAAAAACGAAGTTGTAATATAAAATTGTATGTATATTATGAGTGTTACCATGCATAATGAAATGTTATAAATATTATATAAATTAATTTTAAGATATTATCTACGAGTATTTAAACTATTTTACTTTTCAGTATTCACATTGTTTTATGGTATCTAACTTAATAATTAATAATAATTGTTAATGATATAAATATATTTTACTATTAAAATAATAAAATATTAATGATAGGTATAATAGGTAAGTATTGTTTTTGGGAAAAACTAAATCAACATACCGTTATATCAATATTAAAATTAATTAATTTAATAGTTACATGACAAAACATATATGGTAATATAGCCGATATAGGCAGAGAGACCATCTCTGCTCAGAATAGTTTTTCGTGGAATTAAAATTTAACACATCCATTACAGTGGACTCATTCGACATCTAATGTACAGTTAAGCGGTACGCACTTGCTTACCTAATTTTTAAAAATTTAAATTTGCTATTATACTTAGTTAAAATTGCCTATAATAAAAAATCACTATCAAAACATTGATTTTCTTTTTGTGATTTAATCGGACAACCATTTTATTGTCTATGTCTATAGACTGTGTCATATAATATTGTCATTGTTTTTTTTTTTTAATAATTGTTCAGAACACACTGCTTTAAAATAATTATTAGTTGGGAGTTTTTACCTACCTTCTACCTACGAAGCTATTGGCTACTAGCTTAGAAGTGTTCTTATTGTGTTAAAACGGTTAAGTTATTAGTCCACCTAACCTGACAATAATTGATATTGTACTATCCAAATAATTTTATAAGTCAATATTTATTATTTATATTAGAAATAATATGACGTATAATACTCAATAATAAAATTATTATTAAAATTATTTTTTCTAAAGACAATTTAATAAATGGACATAGAACACAGCAAAGATTAAAATTACCCACTGAATATTGTCTTAACACACATTGGTTAGAATAATATTAAGGTGATTTTCCATATACAAATAAAGCTGTTGGTAAGTAAATGTCCAGTTCAACATAATATCTAATCATCAATTTTGTGAACAAATTTTTGCCACCCCTTTTTAGTTTAAGGTTAAAAATAATTATATTTGTTTTTACTTTAATATCTAAATAACATTTTTCAACTACATTTCTACCTAGTTTTTTTATCATAATAAGGTAATACATATTACATATATCATCGACTGTTTTAATTCTCAAATATTTATTATCAAATAAATTCATTATTTTAATTGACAATTAAAAGAATTAAAATAGTAATTATTAATAATAAATAGTTATAGAAAATAATATCTAATAATACTGACTTTTAGAACACTAATCAAAATATGTTCTATTAATAATTATATTAAAATCATATAATACTTTTAGAAATTTTTAATAACTAATTATTTAAGTGATTGGTATAACACCAAAGTGTTATATTTTTGTATAAATCATTTATTCCAATCTAAAAAAATCTACAAAGATGATAATAATAATATAAAAAAACAATAATAAGAAATTAAATATAATGTTAAAAAAAATTATATATATATAAATTATCAAACATTCTATTATTAAGGTCAAAATTCATTACATAGAAAAAACATATAAAAAATTATATAGTAAAAGTTAGTAAAGTAAACACAAGGTTAAACATAGATTTGAAGACAGAGTAGTGATAAATTAAATAATAAATAAATTAAGATATATGGCCACAAAATTTGATTGCACGTTATAAGAAGTCTTATTTTCTCCATAAGCTTTTGAAAAATCCCCGTTTTGATTGACTGGTCACACATTCTTCACTTATATCTCCTAAAATTAATTAAAATTGTGTATAGTTTATCAAACGATGCAATTATAAAATATAATAACAGTTTAAATTATATTTCCAATAAATAATATTAACTAATATTAGTGTAAATGACACACTATAAATGCTATTTAAATTAATAAATAGTGTTTTGATATTAAATTAGTTTTTAGGAATCGCATAAAAAATATGATAAGTGATATTTAAATGGTATAAATTAAAACTGTTTAATTAGATTTTTATTACAAGGAACTATAGACTGAAATATAACTTGATAAACAATTTATTATTTGTTATAACATATAATTTATAGCTAATATTAAACTATATTTCGACTTTTATAAATCACGTGTATTTAAAATATTTAATTTTAAAACTCATATTTTTGTTTATATATTCATACTCATAACATATGTATATAGAAGAGATAAATTAAATTAGTTACCGTGTGGTCCAATCACTGAAGACGAGAATACAGTTTTAGATTTGTTACTTTTGTTAGTATTACCTGAAACAAAATAAAATGTTATTAAGTAGGCATCTCAAATGCAATACAAATAATTTTAGGAGTAATGAATTACACTATATTAAGTGTACATAGAAATTGTAGATCATCTTATATTTAGTTATTTAAAAAAATATTTTCAAATATTGGAAAATTTTACAACAATAGTAAGTTCATAACAATACTAATTTATACTTGGATGACTCGAAATTATGTGACGTAAAAGAAAATAAATGAATTAATCAATACTTTGAAATTAATGACTATAATTTTTTTTTTTTTACTTTTATTGAATTTAATATTGCTCAACATTTAACTTAACACTAATATATTTAATAAACATAATTGTTAAATTCAATTTGTAACCATAACAATCTATTGGTAGATTAATACTGTCATATCAAATTTAAATGTATTATATACTTTAAATAGAAATCTTAAACAGTTTATAGTATGTATATTTTACTATATCTATATTATGGTAAGAAAAAATAATTTTAAAGAAGCTATAAAATACAAATTATCAACATAATATTATTATCAGGTTTATGATTTTTGAAAACTTTAACAGTATTGACATGACTTCACTAGGATATCTTTCTATAAAAACTTATTTAACTAATTAAACTAGTAATAGCACTTGAAAATGGTACTATAGAAACATTTAACTTAAGAAAGTGACAATTTAGACTTGGTTCAAAAAAGTAACTAGTGCCTAAAAAAGGGACCAAAGAGAAGTATTGGAGTAGTAACATCTGTCCAATAGAATAAAACTAAAAAAATACATTAAAATATAATTTCCATATGTTCGTAGCTTATAAGCTTAACAAAAATATAAAATTTTTCTTATATTAAACGTTCAAATCCAATGAACAATATTAGTTCATCATAATTTTGTTAAATCAAAAAATATTTGATTCATTTCTAAAATAAATTTATTAATACTTCATCAACTAACCCTTTCTAATAAGTAAACTTGTGACACGTCGTAGCGCTTCTCTGGGAGACCTGTGGAAAAATTTTGGTGTAAGGTTAGGGGGTAATGTAACAGGTTTGTGGCCTTCTCGAGAATCCCATTGTGAGTGACCCACAGGGCTTTTGCTAGCCAATTTATCAAGTTGTTCAACTGACACAGGGCGGAACTGTCGCTGCCGTGGATACCATCCCCTACCAGGTCCATTTAAGTGCAATAATTCTGCACCAGCCATTGCTTGACCCAAACCAATGCTAGAACCATGACCAGCACCCCTCATATTAATGCTCATACTATCTGTAATATATAAAAAAAATAATAAGTTATCAATAAAAATATGCTTACATACACTTTTATACTTTGAACTTACTTGACATTTGAGTCATTGTTTTAGTACCAGTGGCCGAATACTGACGTGGAAAATCACATCTTCCTAATAGTGGTGTATCTGGCAATGAGCTAGAAATGTCTGATAATTTTTCAATAGTACTAGGATGAATACTACTTTTAAGCATCAATGGTTTTGGGTATCCATCAGAAACGGGTACTTCTGATGGATAAGTTCTTCTTTCTGACTGCACCTGTAATTTTGTAGAAACATTATTTATGAACATTAAGCATAATTTTTTTTGTTAAACAGTTATTATTCACAAGACAATATATTATAATATGTAAGTATGTTCTCTTAGAATATGAGCATTAGGTAATTCTGAATTAAAATAAATTATGTTATTTAGCTAATGTATTTTTTACATTTTTCAATTTTTGTATTAAAACAATGATATAATAATGAATAATACTACAATAACATCTAATGAATATTCTATTTTTTTTTTTTTTTTTAATGTATCTAAATATTTTTACAAAAACAATTATATATAGATATATATTAATAAAAATTATTTTGATAGGTAAATCACGTAAAAAATATAGTATTTAATTAAAATAAACTTAAAGGGATTGATACAATTTAAAAGTAATTTACTTTAAATTAATGTGTTTTATGAGTTTTGCTATTAGAATCAAAAAATAGAAGATGATTAATGTAAAAGTAAACTAACATAAAATAATACAACTATACTTAATTTTAGGTGTTAATGACTTGTGTGTGTATAGAGTATATCACTAAACGAGAGTAATATTTACATAAACATTGAAAAAAAATAAAAACAAATAAAAAAATAATTAATTACTCACAGATCGTGTTCCAATTTTTTGATGTTGTTGAAAATTATGAGAAAATTCAGCGTCTATTGATCGAGATTTGATTATTGAAGTACTCGGTTCATTTTTGTGAGCATTAAATATGAAAGGTACAGGTGCAGAGTTTTCTCTTTTAGTTTCAACACCATTTAATATAGGTAGCTCTGAAACTATACACAATTTCATCAGAACAAATTAATTAAATTATAAGAAATAAGGATTTTCAATTGTTACCAGTTTCTTCAATAGGTGATGGAGGCAGTGGTCCAAATAAAAACGAATCAAAATCTCCATCAGTATTGTTAAGGCTTATTTGTTCATTCACAAATTCTTCTAATATGTTAGCATTAGCATAATTTTCACAATCATCATTAGAATCAATGTCAAGTCCTTTATCATACAAACTAAAATTTGTATAACCATTATCAACACAGTCCTCTCCATTTATACCTTCAAGTCCTTTATCGAACATATTAATACCAGTATAACCAATTTTCAAATTGCCATCTTCATTAACACTAATTTCATTTCCATTCTCAACTACATTCATATTTGTATAATCTATGTTAATACAATTTTCATTGGGTTTAGTTTCACATGCATTGCTAAAAGTAGTGATTTTGGTATAGCTAACATTAGTAAAACCATCATCATTATTAGTTATTATATTATCTTTATTGAAAACATTAATATTGATATAACCAATACTGGTACAGTCCTCTCCATTGGCATTAACTTCATTTTCTGTGTTCAATGTGTTAACATCTGAATAGCCAAAACTAGCACAGTCCTCTTCTTCATTAGTTTTAATTTCATGTTCAGAGTTGATAACATTAACATTTGTGTAATCTATGTCGGTACAGTCTTTTTCTGCGTTAGTTTGAAGTTCTTTATTAAATACATTAATGTTTGTGTAATCAATGCCCGTTAAGTCCTTTTCTATAGCAATATCGTGTTCATGATTTTTATTAATATTAATATTTGTATAACCAATACTGGTACAGTTTTCTTCAATGTTACTTTTAATTTCATTTTTATCGTTGATATTCATTTTGTGTTCTTTCTTAAAAACATTACTATTTTTATGATCATCATTTTGATCAATTTTCTGGGTCATAATTTCATTATTCACTTGACAATTAACAAAAATATCTTCAGTTTGGCAGCTTGTGTCAACATAAACTTTTTGATTTTGATGTTTAAATAATTCGGTTGATACTTGCACAGACATGTCATGTTTGGCAACAATATTTTTGCAAAGTTTATTCATAAATAATTCGTGTTTAGTTGCACACATAGTTAAGTATGAACACGAATGATGATTTTTAGAACTATCATGACTTAGATTTGGTAACGAAGAAACTCTGTAAAGTAAAGGTGGTTGTGGGGGCTGAAAGTCTGGTGGCATTTCATCTAGACCATCCACTAGACCTTCTTTAAGTAAAGTTTTTATGTCTTCAAATGTTGAACTAAATCGATTTAGTTCGTTGTCTTCGGTTAAAGAATGATTTCTATTATTTACGTATTTATTTACATGAGTTGGTATATCTTCACATTCTTCTGGAAAACATTGAACATAATTATTGCTTGAAACAACAGGACTTTCTTCTTGTAAAAACTGATTGTGATCAATTGCTATTGAATGATTATTCAATGGCACACTTTCACTGACTAGAGGCAAGACAATTTTTAAGACATTACTTGGTTGATCATCTAAACATAATTTGTTAATACATTCAGACTGTAAATTAGCTGTCTGAAGAACTGTCACACAACTATTGAGAGAAGAAGTAATTGGGTCTATAGCATTGGTTTCCTTTTCAGATTCTAAAGATGATATGTGTGACACTGTTTCAAGATCAACACATTCCATCACTTGTGCTAAAGGCCAACTTTTACGATCTTTTTGAAAAACTACTGGCTTTGAACATGAAATGTTTTCATCGTTTTCATTATATGTTTTATTTTTAACTCTAGGCTAAAAAAAAAAAAATTAATATATTAAGCTCATAAATCAAATTACACAAATTACCAAAGTAGATGATACAGCAATTGTATTAGGCAACATAATACAGTGTGATATTTCTTATTTTTGAGCTATTAAAAATTTGATTATCCTAGAAAACAAAACATCATGATGTAACTTCATATGTCTAATAATAACACCATAAAACAAATGCAAATTAAGACTATTAATGTATTATACTTTAATAAGCAGAGTTGAGATTTTATAGCATTAACATATTTCTTATGAAATGCTTGAGAAATAGCAGAGTAAGCTAAAAATGTAAGTTATTAAATTTCCATTTTATTTTGCATATTTTTAGCGCATATTTACCTATATTTAAAGTCATATTATTTATGCGATTTCAAGTGCTATAAAATCCCAACCGTAATAATAAGTAAGAATATTTAATTTTAAGCATAAGACTACAATAGTAGGAAATGTAATTTTAATAACAGAAGCAATAAACTACATTTTTTTTTTAAATAACACATGTATAATATAAATATAATTATTAATAATTTCATGTCTTATCAGTAGAGCACACATTTTTATGCACAAAAAAGTATCAAAAGATGGCATAAAATATGCAGTAAAAATCATAAAATATACAATGAATGAACAAAAATATTTTTTTTTATTCATTTAAAACTTATAAATCAAATAACTTATTATAGTTAATTACTTAAATACTTAATGAAAATGTTCACTTTAATATGCAATAACCATTAAATATATCTACAGAAATTTGCAAAAAAAATGTCACCATTAGATTAAAATATTATTATGATTCATGAAAATAATTAAAAAAAAATTCAAAAAAGTGAAAAGGAAAAAAATAAGTGATTGCATAGAAATCAATGTTCTACTTATGCATAATATTATAATCCTAAAAAATATTTTTCTATTTTAAAATTTTTAGGATTTTTAAATTAAATTGTTGAACGATAGAATAACAGTGTTTCTACATACTTTACAACATTAAACAACATATTAAAATATTTAATTATAATCAAGTACCTATGATACATTTTCTTTTACAAACCATACAAATATAACATAGTATCTAAATATGTATACATTTGTTTAAAATAATTAGTTTTAGAATAAAAAAATACATTACAAATATATCTATATTCATTTTAACTCGATAAATCTATTTATTTTTAAGAAATACATTAGATATTGTCTAAAATCATTTAATGACTTTTTAAATAGTCATAAATGTTAATAATGGCTACATGCCCACATGCCTTCAATCTAGCACATAGTGTGCTAAATAACTAAATTTGTTTTTATTCTAGACACATTGTTATATTTTTAAGTTTGACTCACAGTAATGTTAATAGGTAACAATTGCCCTATTTTAATTTACAATTATGATAAATATACTAACCTACATTGTTCAATTGATAATTGAAGTTTAAAACATCAATAATAAACCTATTACTTTATGGTCATTAGTACTAATTACATATTATTTAAACTTTAATTTAAAGTTTGTATTCTGAAAAAAAAAATCATAAGTGCCTTTAATAAGTAAGTAGGTATTAGTAATATTAAAATAATATTAGTTATTTATCAGTTAATTAAGAATATAACATATAATTATAAGAAAATACAAATTAAAAAAAAACTAATTAAGAAAAACTTATTGTAGAGTATAGAGGGTAATTTGTATTTATTCAATAATCCAAGTTCTCAACAAATGTAGGTGTAAAAATTTCTATATTTAATTTAAATTTTTTTAATAATTCAAATGTATTTGATTAAAATTTGTTTTTCTTGAAATTTTAACTGGAGATATTTTTTTGTAGTATTTTTTTCAGATACTGTAAATATATGTACAGATTATTTTGTAAGTTCATATCAGGTAACCGTATAACATGATATACCTAATATCTAAGTTTTATGGTATATACTTATTTAGATATTTAAATGGAGAATTTCATCATATATTAATAATATTAACATATATAAGTAGAGATAAAAAGGCTACATAAAAGAATAAAAACTTGTTTAAAATATTTTTTAGAAAAAAACAAAATGTATTATATTTCACAAATTTCTCATTAATACAAATTGTTTTGTTGCACATAAGACTTTATTATATAGGAATTTCAATATGCCAAATAATAGTAAATTAGGTAATTTAAAATAATACATTTCTAAAATATAGTTATTTTATATAGTACCTACATCTACCTATCTACATATTTAAAATTAAAATTAAATAATAAATAAATATTTTAAGATTAATATGTATTTACATAGTAAGCACATTGTAGCATACCAATTATTACCAATATTGAAAATTTGTGTTGCATATTGTAAGTATGAGTAAGTGAATAGTGTATACTGAATGTATATGATTTTTGTATATCGATGAAAGTAAAATAAAACGAGTTATTACATGGTTATTATTTAGATGTGTACATGGCGTTTTCTAAACTAGTACTAAAATTAAGACACATAAAAACAATACATATTCCAAAAATGGGAAAAACTTGTACTTTCTAACTATACAAGTTTGCTTACATATCATCAAGTTATATCTATAAATTATGACTAAATTTACTTACGTAAAACAGAGTTAATGTGGCAGGGGGAAAAATCCAACTCCAGAGATAGAATACAAGTCACACTGTACCACTAGTTATCTCCATTCTACGAAAAGACAATGTCAACATTTAAAACAGGATTAGTTGAAATGTTCGTCTAGATTCTAGGGTATTATCTATTGGTGAATTTGGACGAGACGATAACAACGAAAGCGCACGTTGAAACGAGAGGCGGAAGACGAGACTGTAATGCCATGATAGACAGGCTCAGTATCTCGACGAAGCGAGTCAGATGTACATCTCTGAACCACGGTTTGTGATACCCATTAATACCATGACATAATAATCGAAACAACAACAAACTCACCAGACACGGCGGCGCTCCGGCTCCTGTTTCCAACGCGTACGTCGACGAGTGGCATCCACCAACACTGTGGACCCGCGGAACGCCGTCGAAGTCGCGGATATATCGTCGTCCTAGTCGTCGCGTACCGCCGTCATCGTCACCGTCGTCGTCGTCGTCATACCTCCGAACGCGCAAACGGAAAACGCAGACGGCCGGCCCCCCCGCGAACGTCCATTCACTCGTTTTGACGAGTAAACCAGGCGAAATGTTTTCGATGGGGTAGGAGTAAGAAAAAAAATAAATAAAAATAAAAAAACTAAATGGTCAGTAAAAAAAAAAAAAAATCAACAAAACGATTACAGGGAACCGAAACGAAAATAATAATATTAAAGAGTTGTTACTGGCCGAAAATAATCAATAACTCCGCTTCTGTTTTGTTGTTGTGTATGTGCGTACGTGTGCGCGTGTGTGCGTGTGATAATGGCAGTCCTTGACATTGATAACACGGTGTTTACCATTTACTGCCGTCGCCGCCGCCACCGCCGCCGCCGATGACGCCAAACGCCTCCGCCGACGGAGATTGTGGGTCGCGGTTCGCGCGCGCGTGTGTGTAGCGTGTACGACTACAACGACTACACCGTTCGGTGGGGTCAATGCTGGGCGGTGAAGGGAGGAGTAAACGTTTTTACGCTTCTATAATGCTACGACCACGACGGCGCACGCACAGCCGTCGAATGTGGCACTTACAAAAAACATTATCATACCGCCATCACCACCATCACTGGCATCACTATGAGTTATAATAGTCACTGCTCGACGTGGATTCTGACGCCGCGCATTAGATTTTTTCACATCGGTGCAGTGGTTATAACTTAAAAATAAACCTCTCCCGAGAGGTTTGTACTAAAGTGTTTTCACAGTACCTACTCTCCTGACGGTGAAAAAATAATTAAACCGATAACCCGTGCAGCGTTAGTGCAGCAGGAGTGGCTCGTCCGCTTCTTTATCGTCTAGATGCGATTGCTGCCGTCTACGCTTTTTGTAGTCTATAGAGGTGGTAAGCCTAGTGCTAGCCAACATACCTATAATCTGCGCAATCTGTTGTGGTGTGGAGAGGGGCGATGTGGAGGATAAAAATATACTCGATAGTGCATAATTACTTTTTTTTTATTTGGTAGGTACCTACTAACGCGTATGTATATATAAGTAAATAGTTGTTAGTGTTATAAGTTATAACTTATAACTATTGTACTATTTAGCCAGAGGTCGTACCTATTCTGTGTGTTTGTGTGTGTGTGTGTGTGTGTATGTGTACCGCATTTCTGTATTTCTGCACTCTTTTGGCGTGTAATGTGGTAAAAAGATATCTTATTTATAAATGCACTGTTTCAGAACATTTTGAATTCTGATTAAAATAAAGTAAACTTGATTTGTGTGTGTGTGTGTGTGTTTTTTTCTCTATTAAATACATTTTAGGAATTTGAAAATCAAAATAGTTATTAAAGAAAATCGTTCACCTATATGAGGTGTAAGGAGGGGTTAGCCGTAAAAACCAGACAAATACACTTATTGAGACTTTTCATTTTTCAAGATAACTAATACCTAACACTACTTATAGATTGATTTTCAAAAAAAAAATCATGAGTACTTACGTATTTACGATTTTAATATTGAAGTCCATGAAAGATACTGGCCACATACAATATATGAATACTATTTCTGTTGGTTCGTCAATGTTCTATTATTGGTAGGTACCTACATTTCGTAAAAACGTTATGAACTTTATCCAGAATTGATTTTTTTTATTTTTCCACATAACTACCTATCATTTTATCATTTTTTCCTCGAAAAAATTCATCATAAATTATAATCACGAAAATTTGCACTTAAATTTAATTTAGTTTTTAATTTTAACACCATATACTTATTACTTATAAGTTTATTTAACTGAAAATTAATTTAAATGATTAGCATTAAGTGAAAAATATATTTTATAGCGTTTAATAACATTTTAATTACATTGGATACTCAAATTATTTATCATCGAAACAATTTAATTTTCTTTACTAAATTAGTACTAAAACTTGAAAAGATAGTTACTTAAAATAAATATATATATATATAGTATATATTATATACAATAGTTCTCCCCACGTGTAGAAATTTAAATAATTATAAATCATAATTAATAATAATTGTTATATTATATTAATCAATTTAATAATGTTTATAAATTAATTACTTTATATACCAGTTCATGTTTCCTATGAAGCATAATTACATATTTATATCTGTATATGACTGTATATTATCTACATTTAAAAGATAACATTGACATTTGTCATTTAATGATTATTACATGGAGACTACAAGTATAATTTTTTTTAATAATTTACAATTCAAATTTTGACTTTTGTTAAAATCAAGAAACATTGCATAATATTTTGTATTCGCTGTTAAACATTTTTAAAATATTCAATTTGTATACCTTAGATTTGAAAAGTTAATATAATAAAATTGCTTTTATTAACATTTCGTTCTGAAACTAACAAATTTAAAATTATCTAATTACACCTTATTTTTTACAGAAATTTTTTAGTTTAAATTTAAACAAAATTAGGTATTTACAATTTTAAACAAATAATCACAAATTCAGCTAATTTGTTGTAATTTAAAAATATTATTCATGGCAATTAGAAGTATTTTATTATATTTTATATCTTCACACTTATGTACAATGACATTTATACAAATTTTTTGGCAAAAACTGATTCAGCTATCATATTCCTAATAGTAAAATAAATTATTTTAGTAAAAATTTATACCTATATCACAAAATATACTTAAAGTAATATAAATAGACTGCTAGCTGATAGATAGCCTCTGCTTAGAATCGTTTTTTATTTGTAATATTGAATTCAAATTTAACACATACGTTAGGTACAATACTAGTGACTTTAGGGTCGACGGGCAGGGGCGGCCTGCGCGATAGCCCAGGGCGGCAATTTTTGTTTAATTCTCATGGGCGGCATTTTAGCTAAAACTTTCGCAATTTTATAATTGTATTAATATTATTAGTATATTTATATCTATGTGTTATGTAAAGACTATTTTATACTTTATTTTATGTTTATGACGAAAATATTATGACTATGAAAATAAATGTTTTTAGATAAACCAATATTATTGCATAATTTGTATCATATGATTATTTAATTTTTTTATTTATTTAGTTTTAATAGGGCGGCAAAATAGCTCACGCCGGTTCTGAGTGACTTACAGTATTTACACAGTGATGAAGTTAATTCAACAGCTTATACTGTTTATGAGAGTGATCAATTACTTAATAGTTAATACTAATACTATTAATACTATTTAAATATATTACTTAATATTATTCCCTCTTTTATAATTTGTTTTTAAATTATGTCTTAATATCACCTTTTTGTAAAGCGACTAAAATATCTTTACGATGATAATAGCTATAAGTAAAATGTCAATGTTCAATTGTTAACTTTCAACTGTGAAATGGCATTTAAAAATATAATAATTATATGGATTATGAATTGCGTGTTAGTTATTTTATATGTGTACATTATTATCGATAAATAATTTATCCATTTTTGACCAATAACTAACGATTATATATTCAATATTATAAATAATTATTTTATAAAATATGTTAATACGAAAAAAAACATTATTACCCATGTATAATATTGTATACTTTATAGTTGACTGTTTTCCAAGTTCTAGTAGATAGGTACTCTGAAAAATAATGAAAATTATTTGAAAATAAATCATCATTATACGTTCTTATATTTAATTCATTAAAATATTAACTTCAGGTGCTCATCAAAATGCATGTGATTTTATTTTAGATGTTTTATTAAGTTATAGTAAAACAAACATGTAAGAAATTTTATAAGTTAAGTTAGGTGTTAAAATAAAAATTATCGTTAATGTTAACTAAAAAATAATTTAAAATGTTCGTGATTATGATGAATTTTGGAGTGCCATCGAGTTTTTCCTGGCATCTACTTTCCTCTGATTTCCGATAATTTTACAAACGACAGTCACACACTTTCCATAGATAGGAAATCTTTGAAGTGTTATTTTAATATTGTACCATATTTACCAACAAATAAATTTATATTTCTGAATCAAGGGTTCAGAATATCTGTAGGCTTGATAATGATCAGGACCAAAGCAATTGAACTGCGAGTTTTTAAGAAACTACGTACACTCTTCAATTAATTTAATCGTGATTGGATGGGCGTGAGAGGTCAAGAGGGATTTATTAATAAACTTGTATTATTTTTAAAATTTCAACATGCATTTTCATAACAATAATAGTAATAATAGCCTTGTTTTGTAAACCTTAATATAGATTCCAAACTGTTTGGGATAATAAGCTAGTTTTCTATTATATGCATGTAATAAACGATTTGAAATAATTACAGTCAGCCAAAATGCTAAATATTAGTTTAGTTCTATGTTTTTTAAAGAAATATATCTGTTGTACTATATGATTCTTATGTCTTTTATTTTATAGTATCCCCTTCCAGTGTAAGATAATTTAATAAATGATCATTATAAATTATAATTAATGAAAAATGTAGGTACCTATTATTATTTTTTAGAAGTAGGTATATTTAAAATGGTATTAGCTGTATTTATATTCGGAAATTAATAAATGTTGTAAACATACCAAAGGTATTTTCAAGTTCTCGTTCATCTTTATAGTTGGAAAATATTTTGTAGATTCTCGTAATGTGATTTTATTCCTAAATAAACTTAAAAATACTGGTATAATGGTGCGTGTACATTATACATAGTAAACAATTTAAGATGTAAATTAAATGTCGAGATCCTTGAAATTAGTATGTAGAATGATTGTTAATATCTCAACAAAATTATAAATATCTATGATAAATTGATAATTGTTTTGATCAATGAATTAAATAGATATTGAATTAATATTTATTTTTTATCAGTAATATATAAGGTTTAATGATTATTGAATCATATTATTTCCTGTTCTTTTACATGAGAAAAATTCATAAATCTAACATTGTAACGTTTTTAAAGATAGTTGTTGAAGGAAATTTATTTGTGATATTGGTAAAATTATACATTTTTATTTAACTAATTGTGTTTATATTAAACATTTTTTTCGATTAGCGATTTCCGTGGTTTAGATAATAGTCCCATTTCCAAACCCTAAAACTAAAAAATATCAAACTTAACTGTATATACAATTCTATATACCATCTAATATCATAAATAAGATCAATTCCATATATTGATAAAGTAATTTAATTATAATTTACTTATAATAATAGGTATATAATAAATGACTAACAACTGTTTTATATTAGTTGTCAATTGAATGCTAAAACTGAATTATTTTCATATGTTTACTTGGAGTATTTATGTAGATTACCTATTAGTTATTCAAGTATAATTAGGTACTAATTAAATCCATACATTAATGTATATGACTGTTTTTAGTTCTAGATAATAAAACATAACAATTTTTTTTAATTAATTTACATTCCGATAATTAAATTATAGTGATTGACATCTACCTACTTATTGTCTAAAAGTCCAGCTGTTACAATTTTCTTACTAAATGGTAGAGCATAAAATACCGACTATTATATAATAACTGTTGAATTTATAGCTAATGAGAGTTAATTAAACTCTTGACGATTTTCAAATAATATTTATCTTAAGGTATACTCTTTTAATGCATATAAAAATGTATTAAAATTTCAAGTAGTATATTAAATTATATATAGAAATGTATAATATTTTTACTCAGTGTTCCTTTCTTTTTAGAGTTAGAGAAATTCATATCCAATTCATTATCTTTAAATTGAACTTTAAAAAGCACTGGTATATAAATATATTTTTTGAAATACATAATATTCAAGTCTTAGGGATGGATGGCATTTTGAAACTAGTAGTTGACTGTGAAGGAATGGTAAGATATTTCCCATAAAATTATATAAACAGATGTTTACTTTGCTTTGAGTTAAATAAAATATGACAACCTTATATTTATTTTAAGAATAAAAAAATTTATTAAACGGTAATCAAATGTTAAACTGTTATAAGATTTTTGTATGCTAAAATAAAAAAAATTAAAAAAATAGTACCTACTTAAAAGTTTAAGAATAACTTAGTCTGTATATAAGTAAAAGTGAAACAAAAAATTTGAGATATCAACTATTCTTATTATTATTTAGTTTTTTTTTAATCATTTAAATAGATCAAATAATAATAACTATTTAATCAAATCAAATCATAATTTTAAACTGTGTCAAAAAATTTGAAATGTCATACAATATATTGAATAAATTATTCTTTTAGTTAGATATATAAAAATATATTAATACAATTTGTTAGTATAAGCGTTAAAGTTAAAATTTTAATAAAATTAAATTCTACGAAATTAATAAGTAGTTTGTAAATTATTTTTTAGTTTAATATAATATACAAGTTGTTTATTTTCAAAATCCGAGGTTTAAATATGTTAATAAAATTCTTCTTTTAACATTATTTAATAATTAAAACATCAATAAAGATTTTAGTTATTTTCACTTGAAATTTGTACATACCTATATAATATAATATTTTACTATACGTAATAAAATGTTTAATATATTCAGATTAATTTTGAGCTATTATACATTGCAAAACAAGTTACTATAATTTTAACATAAATATAAAATAAAATAAACTTTATAACATAGGTTGACAGACTGTTTTTGCTCAGAATCGTTTTTCGTTAACAATGATTTATCATTGAATTGAAATTTAACATATCTATTACAGACTACAGTGACTTAATAAATTATGAAGGTACACCTATTAAACATTAAATCAGATAACTACTTGCCCATTTTTTTTTTAATACTTTGATCTACTGCTGAATTAAGTGTTCATGTGAGTGTATAAGTTTATATCGAAATTAAGTAATGAATATTGGTCGCAGGCACACACATAAATTTATATTTAAATACTCTCAATAATTGCCTTAAAATTTATTGTTTTTTACGGACTGTAATTTCATAAGTAATGCATATTTATATTTGAATTATAAGTATTTTAACTATTTAAAAATGTTATAGGTATTATCTAAACATTAAGTAAAACATTTTAATATGAATTAGTTGTGCGTAATAATGAGATTCGTAAATATACTCGTATAATATTATATAAAAAAGAAAATTGTGAATGAAACAACAATTAAAAGGTTGAATGCTATAAATATAAAACAACAATATTGTTCATAAAATATATAACTTTTTTAGTGTATTTCAAACTTTTGCTATTTGACCTTAATTCTAATATGTAGATATATTTGAATTTTAATGAATTGCGTACTTCTATTGGTTTTTTTTTTTAATTTTGATTAAGATATACGCATTATTAATATAAGTTTATACACACAGATGTATTAAAAATTACTCAGAAACTTTCAAATTTAAAATGCTAATACAATTGTGTAGTGAATATTATAAATACATTAATTTAATTTATATATAGGTAAGTGTTATTTTAAAAATATAAAGAACACAATTCGATTAAAATGTATTATTAATGAACACAATGAATGTTTGGAAACAATACAAAATCGACTTAGGTGCCTAACCTACTGGTGAATATAGTAATAATAATTATAATAATATAAATAATAATAATAAAAATTTATACATCGAAATTATCAAAAATTAAAAATATAATAATATATGACTATGATCCGTTTCGTGTATCTTGAAGACATTGTTGTTTTATGTTGATCGTATGCACACTTGGCATCTACTGATGCGAGTGCGACTGTCATCCTTCTTCAACGTTTGTCTCTTAGGGCTGGTGAACTGTTCATCAATTTCAATGGTTGCCATCCAGAAACTCATAGTGTTGGCGAAATAATGGCACGTTCCTCGCGCCCCGTTACACTCGATAAACGGAGTAGCTCTAAAATCTTCCAGACAAGAACCAGGACTGGCCAACGATTGACCGCCACCTTCCGCACCTGCGGCCGTGTGCTGAAAAAAATATAGTATAAAACAATTTCTATTGTAACAGGTTTAAATAATAATGATGGAAAAATGTAACGAAAAGTGAAAAAATACCAAAGCTACCTATGTACCTACTATCTACTTAAAATTACTAAAATAAAAAAAAAGAACAATTAAAGGCAAAGTCGCACAGTATTATTTGACGATTTTTGTAGGTGATTAAATGATTGATCAGACTGTGTGATAGTTCAGTAAAACTCAGCGAAAAAGTCCTCCGGGGAGGGGGGAATTAATAGCAATAAGTCCAGTATTTTGAGGAATAGTTAACTTCGATAAAAGTAGTTAATCGTCCAAATACAGTTAGTTTTTATGCTGTGTATAATAAATGTTAACTTCATTACTAGTTAATTTTTGCTAATCATTGTTGATAATATTTGATTCTATAAAAGCTTTAATTAAATTAAAGTAAGTTTAAAAAAAAAATAATAATAGAGAGTCATTTTTTTTAAATATCAGACTAATAATATTATGTTATGATATACTATTATTTATTAATCAATTCAGTTATATGAATGAGCATTAAAAATAATAATAATATTAAAAATTGAAAAAATATTGTGATTTCATATATTTTATTTTTTTTTATGTTGTAAAAACATTAAAAAAAACAATTTCTTTGGTAAAAAACTGAAAACTTTAAATATTTATGAATTGTACAAAAAAGCCAAAATAATCGTATTTTCAAATTCATAAAATGTCTAAAAAAAATACTGATACTTATAAATGTTTAAACCTATATGGCTATTCATTTTTTGATTATCTATAAAAAACGACTCCAATTATTATGTGTATTAAATGTTACTTAAAATTTGTCAATTATTTAATTGTTGAAATCTTTTCAAAAATGAGCATGTAATTTGTTTTACACTGAAGACCGAGTTTTTCAAAATTATCAAAACTTTTATAGCACATGTTTAACTTTTTACATTATCAGTAAATTACTATTTCGATATAGATTACAAACTGAACTTAAGATTAAATATATTTTTGAAATAGATGAATAAATTATTACATCACATTTTTTTGATTTATCATCTAGGATAATATTACCATGCATTCATCTTTTCTAATAAAATATTTTACTTCTGAGTTACTTAAATGTAAGTATA